AATCATTGTCTTGCTGGTTCTTGGATTCAAGCCATTATTTTCACATTCATGTGAATCAACAGTACCAATTGCAAATGGGGCTATTAGACCATGTGAGATTAGTTTGATTGAGAAAATTAGGTCTACTTACCGAGTGCTTAATGTGGCTGCGCTAAAACTTGTTCAAGTTCTCCAGGGAATTCATTTCTCTTTGATTTTAATGTTGTGATCAAGATTGTTCACATCTAGCATATTCATGGAGAATTACTGTTTCTCAAAAGGGATAGAAATTTCAGTCCTCTATCCATCTGAATCCTTGCAACGGACACCCAGTCATCTGTGAATTATCTCTTTCTTCCTAAATTCAATGGGACAACTCTTGGGTAAAGGGTTCAGAAGGCACTTAGACTCATTCTGTTCTCAATATACTGAGACTCATGGAGATCACCACTTCCCAGACTCTTTAATAACACCATTAGAGAATGCCTTCTTTAATACTAGTAGCATTCCTGATTTAGTGTTGATTATGTGCAAAGGACACACTATCTATACTAACAGAAATCCATGGGCAACATTAGCCCTATATAATTATACAACTTTAGTTTCTGTAGATTGTTAGAACAGGTGTTTAATCTCCACTTGAAATACCAAAACCTACCATCACCTTTGTCCTTCCATGAGGGAGACAGGCATCCTGCGTATCTTCCCTCTGTCCAGATCTTTTGTGTAGACCCTTTTCACCTAGCTCCAGCTCTCCATCTCTAAAACCAAGGTTTCAGAAAACCTGGCTGAGATCTATCATATTTATAGGCAATCTGAAAATTTCTAAGGTATATGTCCTTGCTTTTTATTCCTTATCTGACAGTGAAAATTGATTCATGGAGGACAACTCCATTTGCCTGTTCATCCTACTCCTATCCCTATCCCAAACACCTCTCCTCTGAGTTTTTAGTAATATGTACATTTGGGACCACACCCTGATTTTCCTCCCAGGATTGAGTGCAGGTCATCTCTCTCCTCCACGTTACTAGAGCATTCCCAGAAGCAGATTAATCCTTCAATGCCTTCTTCAGGTAAGCCTCCATACTCAGTTGTTCTACAGGTAGCAAGTGTTGTAGTTCCAATCTCCCTTGGATTTTTTCTAATGCAAGTTCCTTTCCACAGTGTGCCAAGAGGTTGAATACAGTGCAGTAACATTATGTTCTGATTGTCTCTTGGAGCATGAAAACAATTCTTAAAAAAATATTCATTTGAAGATGTTTTGTTTCTTAGAGAATATTATAAATGTGCAATTATTCTTTCCAAACAGTGGCTATTACCCTTCACTTACTTTTCTGCCATTATTACTTGGCAATAATGATTCATGTATCTGAATTTAGAAAGTTCAAATTTACTTGCAGTCTGGGGTGGCAAGGATTGGCGTAACTGTCCTTGGTCCTTAAATTCTTAGTAGAAACAGTAGTAGCCCCATATTGCGTTTCAGAGAACAATCATCTCTTAGAAGACTGGAGCTTCCAGAGCACTAACTGTAGGGGCTGGTACATACTTTACGTTAACAAAAATATTTTCTTTTGTTTAATTTCGAGTTAGGCTTAAAGATATGTAAACATGAACCTGCTAGATTAAATACTTTGATAAAATGTGTCAGTGGTTCCAGTCACAGAGGAGGATGCTGGACACACATTTAGAATATTTTAAGTGTTATTTCTCTTCACTGACAGTAACATGCAATGCCATTGAGACATATTAATGTTTTCAAAGTTATAATTATGTTTTTGAAGTTTGGGTATGGGTATGATGCAGGAAAAGTCTAGAAAACACTGCCTTTTCTGTTCTTTTACAGTCTTACTAATAAGGATTTTAGAGCTATAATGTTACAACAATAGAGAATAGAAGAATAGGAGTTAACTAGTTTAAAGGTGACTCAAACCTCTTAACCAAGTTGAAGTAAATTCTTCAAGATCTCTTGGATTTACACGTACATTCTATTTTACTTACTAATTCTCTCTTATCAGTGGCTGATATCAAGGGATGATGTTGACAAACATATGGCATAAGTAGCTAAATTTCTCACAGGATACAAAAATAACAGGGTAAATACTTCAGCTAATTGTATTTTTTAGATTAATATGTTTATCATGCAAATACAAATCATTATTTTATTTATATTTAAAATATTTTTAAATTTGTGAATCAGAGAGACACACAGAAACAGAGAGACAGAGAAAGATAGATACAGAGAGAGAGAGAAGGAGAGAGAGAGAGAAAGGTAGACAGACTGTCTAAGAGAAAGATATAAAGACAGAACATCCATTTGGTTGTTCATTCCTCAAATGCTGTAATGACTGGGGCTGGGCAGAGGCCAGAGTCAGAAGCCAAGAACTCAGCCTAGATTTCCCATATGAGTGGCAGAAATCCTATTGCTGAAGCCATTGGTGTTGCCTCCCAGGATATGCGTTGGTCAGAAGCTGGAATCAGGAATTAGGTCTGGGAATTGAAACGGGGTACTGTGACATGGGACAGGAGCATCTTAACTGCTAAGACAAACAGTCTCACCATAAAATCATTATTTAAATGAACTGAGTTGATGATCATGAATAACATTATTTTACATTTTTTAAATAACATTTCAAAGCAAAGGCAAAAATGTGATACTTCTGCACCACATTTGAATTATTTACTATTGGATCATCTAACCTTACTGTTCTGATTATTCTTTTGAATAAAATGTCACAAATACTCAGTCTTACCTTTTAATCAGCTGTACTTGCTCTCAACTTTAATTCTGTACTATGTGGTAGCATATACTTCTCCTTCCTCTGTGGGTTTTCTGTTGGTTGAGAAGATAAGTCGCTGTTTGGGTCTTTCTGCTCTGTGTAGATTAATTTAAGTTATAATATAGAAAGATTACCAGCTTCTCACCTGTTTCAGGTAGACAAAAGACTGCTCCCTGCTCCAGGAATGTGTAAAACCACATAATGGTGTAATAATGATTTCTTTCCAGTCACAAGAGAGTATTTTCTTTCCCATAACACTTCTTTTCCCTCAGTCTCTGTTCCCTTCAAAGCTTAGAGCTGGTATAAAAATTAATTTGTATTGAAATATTTAAGATTGCTTTCAAACCTTCCAGCAGAATTTCAGTTCTTTTGTAAGCCTATTTCTTTCTTTAAAGACCTGTGAAACTTTTCCGGAGGTTAGAAATAGAATTTAAGCCAAATAATACTCAATATTTAAATAGAAGTGACTAGCTTTTTCTTCGCAGCCCAATCAAGCAACAAACCCTTTCTACACAGAAATTAAAACCAGATATTTGAAAGTCAGAAACCTTTCCTTTTGGAGAAACATTGAGTTATTTTCTGAGCCTTGTGACTTTGAGTTTAAAATGTAAGATACTGCTTTCCTGCCAGTCAACCAAAAAGATGAGACTTAGCATTCCTCATTCTCTTCCTGGTCACATTGTGGGTCTCCAACAGTGTAGGTGAGCCCGGCAGGCTATCTTAGACAACTGCTCCCCCTCTACTGCCCCCAGATGAAATTATAGCTTGTGAGAAACTCTTCTCTTTTCACCATAAATCTCATGTCACTCCTTCCCCTCTGTTGAAAAGATCTGCCCTACTAAGAAAGAGAATTGATAAGGGGAGCCCTCCTAACTTTTTCTCAGTTTCCAAACTGTCAACTCCCTTTTTTACATTTTGAATCCCATTCACTCCCTCCTTCTAAAATCTTTTTTTTATTATTATTTTTTTTTTATTTTTTGACAGGCAATGAGAGAGAGAGAGAGAGAAAGGTCTTCCTTTACCTTTGGCCGGCACACCGCGCTGATCCGAAGCGCGGATCAGCTGGTCTCCCATGCGGGGGCAGGGCCCAAGCACTTGGGCCATCCTCCACTGCACTCCCAGGCCATAGCAGAGAGCTGACCTGGAAGAGGGGCAACTGAGACAGAATCCGGTGCCCCGACCGGGACTAGAACCCGGTGTGCCGGCGCCGCTAGGCGGAGGATTAGCCTATTGAGCAGTAGCACTGCTGTGGCGCCGGCCATCTAAAATCATTTTCTCATGCTACTAGCTTCAGTTTTCCTTGGAGCATTGATCCTCTGTCTTTAGTCAATCATTTCCAACAAACAATACTCATGAATAATCCTGTGCTGCCAAGCCCAACAAGCATCTAATTGTCATCAACTCCAGCTGCTTTTCAGCAGCACTCTCCATGGCAGATCTTTCCCTGTTTTTATTTGTGAAAAAATATTTATTTATTTGGAAACAGAGATGCAGAAAGAGCAAGCAAGAACACCCATCCACTGGCATACTACCCAAATGCCTGTAACTGCTGGGGCTGTGTGTGGGGGAGTCAAATTCAGGTCTTGCAAGTGGGTGGTAGGAGCTCAAAATCATGAGCCACCATCACTGCCTCCCTGCAGCAAAGAGTAGAGCTGGGAATCAAACCAGACACTTCAACGTGAGACATGGATCATGACTACTATCTTAACCATTAAGCCAAATGACCATCTATCGCCACTTGATTCTTATTTTTTTGTAATATGACAGCATATCTTCCTAGTACCCTTCCAAAGTTCTTTGCAAATGTAAACAGATCACTAACCATCTCTAAATGTTAATGTTCTTTGGGTTAAGTTCTGAGCCCACTTCTCCCACCATATTCTCTCCCTAGGTGACCTCCTCCAATTCTACAGCTTTAAACATTATCTCTATGGAATGATTCATAAATTTACATTTCAAATCTAAAGTACTTCCTCTCTATCCAGCTAACCCCTCAGTATTTCTACAAATATCTCAGACATCTCAAACGGAATTCAAACTAAACTCTCAATCGTTCCAATAAGCCTTCTTTTGCATAATATTCTCTGTCTTAGTAAAAGGTACCATCATCCGCTTTCTTTATTAAGCAGAAAACTACGTATTTTTGTAAAGCTTTATTTATTTGAAAGGCAAAGTCACAAAGAGGCAAAGGCAGAGAGAGAGAGAGAGAGAGAGAGAGAGAGAGAGGTCTTCTATTTGCTGGTTCACTCCCCAGATGGCTTTAATGGCAGAGCTGCGCCAGTCTGAAGCAGGAGCCAGGAGATTCTTCTGGGTCTCCCAAGTGAATACAAGGGCCCAAGTACTTGCGTCATCTTCCACTGATTTCCCAGGCCATAGTAGAGAGCTAGTTTCGAAGTGGAGCAGCTGGGACTCAAACCGGTGCCCATATGGGATGCCAGCACTGTATGCAGCAGCCGTACCCGCTACACCATTGTGACAGCCCCGAAACCTGAGTATTATCCCCAATTTCATTCTGTCTCTTACCATGTGCCCCACCCCACCTCATACAATCCATCAGTAAGTCCTATTCATTCTGGTTTCCAAATACTCATCACAATAGTCAATTCTGTGTCTCCCTAACCATGGTTTCCATCATCAATGGCCAGCATTATTGTAATTGCTGCTTAGCACATCTTTTCCTGCTCCTGCTCACCCACAAACCTCTTTCGATGGTTGTCTTTAAAACTGAAAATCAGTTCTTTTCAGTCATGCTTACACTCAAACTCATCAGTAGCTTATAAACAGGTCTCAACCCATCTCTGGAGAATTACTCTACCTTCCACTGTGCTGATCCCAGGTTCACAGGGCTCCCCCAGGCACCTCTAACATACCTTGATGGAAGTCCCAGCATAAAGGCATTTCTTCAAAACATACTTCCCAGTCACACCCAAAGGTCCATGTTTCATTAGTCTTGAGCTCAGCCAACTGCAACGTCTTTTGTAGCATTGATCACAATTTCTGGTGAGAGTTTTTTATTTGCTTTTTCTAATTTTCCTCTTTCATGGGCCTCCAAGTCACATATGATCCATCATGCCCAGCTATTACATTCTTACATCCTTCTCTGCCAGGTCCTGGAATGAGTAGATACCTGGTAAATAACTCTTGAATAAATGAAGGCAACACTGGGTGCTTATAATAACAAGAATTTCCCCACCGTGCACATTTGATATTTGGCTACTAATTGGACTTCTAAATATAGAGCAAATAAATTGTGTAAAATAAATCATGTTATAAAATGAGTATTTCTTGGAGAATGTGAACTTGACCTTCATTTAGTGTTTAGGTCTCCATTTATGTTCCAAGTGCTGCATTAATGTAGAATTTTTTGTGATTAATTATACACAGGGCATTGAAATGATCTTTGCCAAAAAGTGAATCCAGCCTCAAATAGCTTTCATCTATTAGATGGCATTATTAGACAGAATTCACAAAATCCACCCATGGATTATTGAAGATTTTGCTGAGGTTATATTATTTGCATTATCTTTCACACAACATAGGGAACAAAAACATTGTTTGAAAAAATTTGTAAATTATTAAAGGGACAGCTGTTTTAAAGTCCAGGTGCTATAGTGAGAGTGGAAATTTACACTGGACTCTGGTATTTAAGGATCCTGTTAATCATGGTATTATGGGCCTGATTGTCCTACTGACTGACTACATGATGTAGATTTTATTTCTCTCTAGAGTTGTTAATATTTGTTCTAACTTCCATATGAAACAATCAGAGGAATTGTATATATTCTCATGGGAGGAAGGAGGAATTAACAGCAAAATGTACAGAAACATTTGAATTTATCTCAGACAATAAGGAGAAGTTAATATGCATGGAAAAGAAAAGAATGAACTTCAGTCACAAAAACACAGTCCAGATAAGTAATTTTCAATGTTCTTCAAAACTGTAGAACAATTTATTTAAATGAATTCTGTATTGTGACATGCTTGTTGTGTATATGCATATACATTGTGTATGCATGAGTACATACACACACAAACACACACATATACACACTCCTAAAAAGAAGTTTGTTAACATACAAATGGAAGGCTAGAACTGCCCTTTGGGCCTCCTTACAACTATGGCAGCGTTTGACATACTTATTGGATTGTCTTAGTCTTTCTCAATCTAGGGACAAGTTTTCCTTTGTGCACCAAATTTTCCATTATATGTATATAAGTAACCTCTCTTCTGTGCATTTAGTACAGTACCAACTGAACAGCATCTGAAAGTAGTTACTCAATTCATTTTCTGTGTTCTGTGATTCAGATGAGAAAATCCATGTCAATAAATAAATTGAAAATCACTGATAGTGTTAAAAGATTATTATATAATTATATAGAATAGGTATGCAAATACACTGAATAACTTCTGATACTTCCTTTGAATTTCCTTCTCTGTTCTAGGCAGCCATTACTAATCAATCAGAGTTAAGAACACAAGATGAGGGGCTGGAGCTTTGGCGTAGTAGCCTAAGACTGTGGCATCAACATCCCATATGGGCATCAGTTCATATCCCACCTGCTTCCCATCCAATCCAGTTCTCTGCTGTGGCCCGGGAAAGCAGAAGATGGTCCAAGTACTTGGGGCCCTACACCCAAGTGGGAGACTAGGAAGAAGCTCCAGTGTCCTAGTTCCAGAATCGTTCAGCTCCAGCCATTGCCACCATTTGGGGAGTGAACCGGAAGATGGAAAATCTTTCTGTCTCTCCCTCTCTGTGTCTATAACTCTATATCTCAAATAAATAAATAAATCTTAAAACCCCATAAGATGAAGTCAAACTATCATCAGGATGATGGAGATATTTAGGGTGACTAAAAACATGAAGAATGAAGATAATATTATCAAATCATTCATCTGATGAATTGATTATTTTCCCTAATTAAAATATTGTAGCTAAGGACAAATATATTTGAATGTGTAAGGCAAATACCAATACCGCACAAGATAGTATAAATTATTTAAGATACATTAATTCTTTAGAATGTTTGAGATCTTATTCTATATTTCTCAATAATAGTTACACAATTTTGCATACAGATGGGCAAAAAGGAAAAAAGCCAAAGGAAGCAAATTTATGTGCTTATTTATAAGGAGAATAATATCATTGTTACTGAGTAAGAAAAAGAGAAAATTAAACATTTTTAAAATGTTGAAAATAAGGATAACCTTTGAGAAACAGAAATCAAATTAAAATATGCCCTATGAAGTGAGTGATTCTTTGGCAGGTTTGTAGACAGTATGGGGCCTATGATTTCTTAAATACATATTGCAATGGCCAAATAAAGATCCTACAGGTAGAAGAAATAGTTACGTGCTCTTCCCCCTAAGCCTCTTTCCTTTGCAGATGGAGTCATTTTTTCCTGATAGTTTTGTAGATCCATTCCTATTCACTCTGGAGATAGATAGGAGCACTAGGTGAGAAGCTTGTCACTTCCCTAGCAAGCATCTATCTCTTCTCATATTCTATCCACTCTTTCTATAGTGATATCTAGATTTCTTTCCCTATAGCTTCCCTTTCTAAGTTATTTCAAATTTGTCTTTCTCTGAGTTTGAATTCCTATTGTGGTCTCTATCTTAGGCCCTGGATTTATTTTGTTTTTCTGTTTCTTAGGACTTGACACTTAAATTACATCAAAATTTAAATCTTAGACCCCATGACTGAGTCTTTGTCAAATATGGTCACACCTGAAACTGATGGAATTGATAAATAATATAGCCATGTTTTAAAATGATTTTTAAAGATGAATGCCACATACATTGTCTCTAATCATACAACATCTCTAAATTAACTAGTTTATCTTCATTTAGGAACAAAGAAATCTAAGCTTGCAGGGCCAAAAAATTTTGCTCATTTTCACAGCTGGAAGGTGGCAGAGCTAGATTCAAACCCAGGACTGTTGTTTTATAAATCTTCTTACTTTTCTTCTCTGTACTGAAGCTACCATCATTCATTTTTATATTTGTCCACTCAACAAATATCTACTGAGCAAACACGATAAGTCAGGCAGGATGCTAGACACTGGCATACAAAACTGGCATATAAGATAATCATAATTCTTGATTTATAGGGCTCCAAGAACTCCAAATCACCAATAACAAGGGTCAATAGACTGTCCTTTTAATTCAGAAACTAAGAATTTTAAGATAGAAATTTGTATATAATCAGATATGTTTTAGGAATACTATTCTCAATGGAGAAGATATAAAAGTTTGTGTATGTGAGGAACTGAAGGAAAATCAATAAATTAATATGTTCTGGGGTCTCCAGTGTAATATTTTATATTGGAAATAGCATAAAATTTCACACAGTAAAAAAAAGCAGGTTTACAGGTTTACAGGAGAATGCATAGTTTGGTTTTGAACTTGTTGCACTGTAGGCATGTGTGGGAAACCAGCTACATTTAGAGTATTTGGAAATTCCATCTGGAAGCTCGTGAACAAGGTAAGAGTGTGATACGCAGGTGCTATAGGAATTATCTGCAAAAAGTAATAATTGAAGCCATGGGAATACATGTGATAGCTAAAAGAAAAGAGATAGAAAAAGAAAACAAAAAAGAAAAGAAAATAGAGCTCCAAAAGGGGCATGAGAATTGAAGTTAAGGAAGGTAAGGGGAGGGAGGGAGAGAAGTATTTTTGTATTCTTAGAATTGTATCTATGGTTCCACATGCAGAAGCATGAAGCAAGACCCCTACCTTTCACCTTACACAAAAATCCACTCAACATGGATTAAAGATCTAAATCTATGACCCGACACCATCGAATTATTAGAGAGCATCGGAGAAACCCTGCAAGACATAGGCACAGGCAAAGACATCTTGGAAAAGACCCGAGAGGCACAGGCAGTCAAAGCCAAAATTAACATTTGGGATTGCATCAAATTGAGAAGTTTCTGTACTGCAAAAGAAACAGGAAAGTGAAGAGGCAACCGACAGAATGGGAAAAAATATTTGCAAACTATGCAACAGATAAAGGATTAATAACCAGAATCTAAAAAGAGATCAAGAAACTCCATAACAACAAAACAAGCAACCCACTTAAGAGATGGGCCAAGGACCTCAATAGACATTTTTCAAAAGAGGAAATCCAAATGGCCAACAGACACATGAAAAAATGTTCAGGATCACTAACCATCACGGAAATGCAAATCAAAACCACAGTGAGGTTTCACCTCACCCGAGGTTAGAATGGCTTACATACAGAAATCAACTAATAACAAATGCTGGCGAGGATGTGGGGAAAAAGGGACCTCAGAATCAGCCCTTAAGGCATTCGGATCTGGCTAAAAAGCCCATGAGAGTTTCTCAGGCATGGAAATCCAAGACACTGCGGCAAAAAAAAAAAAAATGACCTAAATGAAATATCTCTGTGAGTGAGATTCCAGCGGAAAGAACGGGCCATCAGAGAAGGAGGTACTTTTCTCTGAAGGGAGGAGAGAACTTCCACTTTGACTATGGCCTTGTCTAAATAAGATTGGAGTTTGTGAACTCAAGAGGCTTCCATAGCTTTGGCAGCTCATGACAAGAACCTCGGATGATTATTGATGTCATAAATAAGAGTGTCAATTGTTAAATCAACAACAGGAGTCACTGTGAACCTACACCCCGTGTAGGATCTCTGTTCTTAATGTGTTGTACTATGCAATTTAATGGTAAAACTATTACTCATACAGTACTCTATACTTTATGTGTCTTTGTGGGTGCAGTCTGTTGAAATCTTTACTTAGTATATACTAAGTTGATTTTCTGTATATAAAGATAATTGAAAATGAATCTTGATTAAGAATGGGATGGGTGAGGGAGCGGGAAATAGGATGTTTGTGGGTGGGAGAGAGGCTATGGGGGGAAAAGCCACTATAATCCAAAAGTTGTACTTTGAAAATTCATATTTATTAAATTAAAGTTGAAAAAAAAGAATTGTATCTATGAACTACTTGAAATCTGTTCTATTTTTGTTAATAAAAAACAAAAAGGACACGTTTAAATAAGTCAGATTTGAAAATGAGATTTCTGTATATTACAAAAATTGTCCACAATCCTTTCTTCACTCCTCCCTATAACTGTGCCCTATGAAATGTGACTTTTAATCTTCTCCCATGAAGAAATGGAGTGTATTTCTGCTCATCTTGAATTATGGTTACCATTTGGACTTGCTCTGGTCAACAGAATGAAGTAGAAGTGTTGGTTTGTCTCCAAGAAGTTTTGCACAATTTCATGTTCCTGTGAGCAGCTGTCAAGTGCTCAAGCCTAGGCTGGAGGAGATGAGGCTTCTGGAGCAGAAACTGACCATTCCTGTTGAGGCCACCCAGGAACATCATCCCCTAGCCAAACTGGCTGCTGACTATAGAGACAGCAAGCCCAGATGAGATCAGAATAACTGTTCAGTTATTCACATATACAGAATTGTTCAAGTTATACACATATACAGAATTGTAAACCAAATAAGCAATTGTTTTAAGCTAATAAATTTTTGGAGAGCTGGTCATCTATTAAAATATAACTGATATAGAAATTGAGGTGGAAAAGGAGAGAAGTCAGCATAAGTTATGGTCAAGTGGTAAGAAAAATAAGAAACATAACAAGAAGAGGATGATCAACAACAATAAAAATCCCTAAAATATGGAAGACAGAAAACTAAGAGTTAGTTGTATTTTACAATGAGCCAGAATCTAATAACAACTGAAAAACCAGCTTCAAGTAATGAGGTACAGGGGGAAGACCAACAGAAGGAGAAATTAGTATCACGAGCAAGACCTTCATATTCAAAATGCCTGCCTCGAAATAGATTGAAAGCAAGTAAGTTGCACTTCTTCAACACTGAGATCCTCAGTGTCTTCAATTATAAACTAAGAAGGTTTCCTTTTCTTATACCCTATTATCCTTGAGAGGCAGAACTTAGTAGTTACACACACAGCTTTTGAAATTAAACAGGTGTAAATGTTATTTCCAAATTCTTCCTCTTAGTGTCTGTGTGTACTTTTCTAAGGTTATGTAATCAAAGTCTGAATTTTTGGATATTATATAACAATATTGATAATAGCAATAATTATACATACCACTACTGAAGGAGATGTCATCAAATTAAATGCTGTATAAAATGGGCTGGCAGAATGCCTGGGGAAAAAAAAAAGTATGTAGTAAACAAAATTTTGTTACCAATAGCAGCTTCAGCAGATGCGATACTACCAACGCTTGAATAAGTCCTTCTTTAGTTTGAGCTTAAATTTGTACTACAGCATTCCCTACCTGTTGGTCTAGTTCTGTTTAATGGCAATGCTTTATGGTTTTAGAGCATTTGACAGTTTCACAATGTGCTTTTATATCATCACATTAGGATTTACTGAACACACAGTTTTCCATGGCCACCTTCATTTCTTCCCTGGCTTTATAATAAATTAGAAGCAGAGATAGGGATGGTTTAAAGCATGAACACTGTTATTAACTTGCAGTTGTTGATAAAGAAAGAATCACGAAATATTAAGCAGAAAATCAGAGACCTCCAAAGTCATCCAGTGTAGGGGGAAAGTGGAAACCTCCCAGTTTTAATCGCATTACTATAATTAGGACTAGTAGGAGGGTACTTCAAAAAGTTCTTACAAAAATAGAATTATAAATAAGTATATTTTGTTGCAAAACATTTTTAAATCAATATATAGATTTTTAATGATGTTTTGAAATCTCTTTATAAAGTAATTGATAAGCATAATGATCACTTTGATTAATCAATAAGCCATTGAATTCTATGTATCTGTTTTCTAAAGTAGGAAATTTTCTAAGATTAAAGTTGAGGAAAAAAATGTCTTCTTTGATGGAATCTGGGGTGGAAACCCTGCACAGCACAGAAGCAGATGAGTAGAGCTGTTCTTGAAGTCATGTGAAGACAAAGACCATGGCTGTGCGCACCTGACTGCATATCCCTGTTGCACAGGAAAAATCCTCCAGAACTTTAGGTGGGCCCTTAAAATTTATGCAAAGAAAACATGGTATCAATCGATTTTTTTTTTCAGAAAACACAGTTCAATATATTTAAAGTAGGGCTTAACCCATAAAGGAGTAAATAATCTGGAGAGAAATCCCTCATATAGAAAACTACATTCCTTCAAAAATCTATATACATAAGGTTTTACTCCTTTTTTTTTTGCCAAAGTAGGACATCATCTCATTTTCTTATTAGAATACTTCTTATTTTCTTATTAGAATACTTCTACTATTATTCACAAAAGTATAACTTTCATGAAAAAAACCTCAAATAAAATTTATTTCCACCTCATAAACACTCTTCCTATGGTATCTCTCCCTAAGAAGTATGCATTGCCAGTCTCATTAAACACATTTTGGTTAATATCATGTCATTTCCTCCTACTTACTAGCTTTTAAGTACTTCCTTTTATCCATTAACTTAAAATTAAATCTAATAAGTATTATTTTTCAAGCAAAGAACACAGAATTAAATAGTGAGCTAAAATTTACAAGCTAAAATCAAAAGTGATACCAGAATAGACAAAAAGAAAAAATTAATTGATAGATATGTAACCTTAGGATTTCCAAAGATCTCTGGTCAGTCAGCATGCCACATATGTAAGTTTTACTAACATAATTTCTTTTTTTATTACCTAAGAGCATTAGGATATACTTTCTGGCTCCAATAATTGCTTGCAGTTAATTACAAATGAAACAGAAGTGCTGGTAATATGAGAGACTTGTATTCTGCATAAAACTGGAAATTACTGCTATTACTCTTGGTTGCTAGTGAATATTAGGTCATAGATGCTAATTAGCAGTTCATTGCCCTCCTACTGGGGAGAAAGCTCACTACTGTATGAAACTATCCTGATAGCCAAACCCAACACTCAAGGCATTCTGACCATTTTTGTTTGAGCAGTTGTAAGACATAATAAAACTATTTACTATTTTTAGAAGGACTATAAAGGGTAACCTTAACAGCCTCAGAGCTGCTCACTATTTCAGGCAAAATAGCCATATCATGCTTCAGGCCCCACAGTTTATGTGTAGGGACCAATTAAAAACTAGAAGACAGAAGTTTTCATCAACACAAAGTAAACAGGTTTTCCCACAAAATACCTGTTGCCAAAACAGAGCAACTCAAAAATGAGAGAATAAAATTATATATAAGAAGGGAGAGAAATTAGAATAGCTCTAGGATTTTTTCCAATGGAAAATTTATAATGCAAATTTATGCATATGCACACACAGACATACAGCTAGCCCTGAGTGTGTGTATCCATACCTATCTATAGCCATATCTGTATTTATCTATCATCTATCTATAATTGTATCTACATAGATATAGACATAGATATATAGATAGCAATGTGGGTAGGTCATTAAATAGAGATAGATTATTTTGATGATAGATAGATAGATGATAGATAGATAGATAGATAGATAGATACTGTCTGGTCTTTTAAATACAGCCAAAAGCCTTAAGAAAAGAGATTTTTTAAGAGCTTATTCTGGTATTTTTTTTAAAGATTATTTATTTATTTGAAAGAGTTACACAGAGGCACAGAAAGAGAGAGAGAGAAAGAGAGGTCTTCCATATGCTGGTTCACTCCCCAATTGGCCACAACTGCTGGAGCTGTGTCGATCTGAAGCCAGGAGCCTGGAGCTTCTTGCAGGTCTCCCATGCATGTGAAGGGGCCTAAGGACTTGGGCCATCTTCTACTGCTTTCCCAGGCCATAGCAGAGAGCTGGATCAGAAGTGAAGCAGCCAGGTTTCAAACTGGAGCCCATATGGGATGCCGGCACTGAGGCAGTGGCTTTACCCACTACGCCATAGAGCCAGCCCCTATTCTGGTATTTTTTAAGTTGAATTTTGAAGCCATGATTTATTAACATATTTCCATCTCTTTAATTACACATATGTGTTTAGAATGTCCATGATCTTTTGAGGGAAATGTGTTAAAACTTTAACCTGGGGGTTGGCTCTGTGGCACAGTAAGCTAAGCCTCCACCTGTGGCACCGGCATCCGATATGGGCGCCAGTTCGGGTCCCAGCTGTTCCTCTTCTGATTCACCCCTCTGCTATGGCCTGGGGAAGCAGTAGAAAATGGCCCAAGTAGTTGGGCCCCTACACCCACGTGAGAGACTTGGAATAAGCTCCTGGCTAACGACTCCAGATCTGCCAAGCTCGCATTGTTGCGGCCATCTAGGGAGTGAACCAAAACTCTTTGTCTCTCCTATTCTCTGTAACACTACCTCTCAAATAAATAAATAAAATCTTTAATAAAAACAAAAAAACCCAAAATTTTTTAAATATTTTTTAACTTTTATTTAATGAATATAAACTTCCAAAGTACAGCTTATGGATTACAATGGCTTCCCCCCCATAACATCCCTCCCACCTGCAACCCTCCCCTTTCCCACTCCCTCTCCCCTTCCATTCACATCAAGATTCATTTTCGATTCTCTTTATACACAAGAGATCAGTTTAGCATACATTAAGTAAAGATTTCAACAGTTTGCTCCCACACAGAAACATAAAGTGAAAAATACTGTTTGAGTACTAGTTATAGCATTAAATCTCAATGTACAGCACACTAAGGACAAAGATCCTACATGAGGAGTAAGTGCACAGTGACTCCAGTTGTTGATTTAACAAATTGACACTCTTGTTCATGGCCTCAGTAATCACCCTAGGCTCTTGTCATGAGCTGCCAAGGCTATGGAAGCCCCCTGAGTTCACTGACTCTGATCATATTTAGACAAGGCCATGGTCAAAGTGGAAATATTTAACCTGAATTTAATTATTCTTCCAAAAGCAAAGGAAATTAGATAATGCATAAATCCTAATTTTTAGTCAAACTGGGTTTCATATTTAAGTATCAACTATATTTATAATTTGAAAAATGGTATTAAATATTTTATATTTTTAATATGGGAATATAAGTACCAGCACACACACATACAAACACAAACACTGTTTGCCAAGAAAATTTCCCTAACGAGTGGGGCAAAAAGCCAAGGAATAGTTCAGAAGTATTAGAATATATATATTCTTTATTTTGAAGAAGGCATATTCATTTTTTCTCAGTATAATGACATGTCCCACTTTTAATTGTGCTCTTTTCTTTTCCATAAATAGTACATCCAGTTTCACCTGTGGAAGTAAAACTAATTAAAAGAGCAATAACTTGTAAAAATTGAAAAAGTAAATCTTCTCCATAAACTGTTTGAAGTTCTATGTGCTACAAAATCTTTTTCCCTGCTTCTAATCTCTTATCAAACCTTAAACATAGACGAGAATCATTCCAGGCCTCAGTCTTAAGAGACTGGAAGCTTTTACTTCCTTACTCTTTTGAATACTTGTTCTTGAAACCTAGGACGTCAAGTAGGTAATCTAGCTATTCTGCTAAAGAGACCACAGGCAGAGCAGGGAGTGAGTTGTGAGTTGAGATGACACAGAGAGGGAGGCAGCCCAATCCTGCCTTCCAGCAACCATTACCCCTACTATTGTGCCTCACAATTGAATGATATCATCTTTGCCCCTCCAGGATAGTTCAGCTGCCAGCTGAATACCAAGTCAAGACCATGTGGAACTGAACCATTGGCCAACTTGAACTTATACAAATTCCCAACCTCAAAAATAATGAGATAAATTAACATGGTTGTTATTCAAATCAGACATGTATACAAACACAACCCTATAGACTAGAATCAAAGATAAACGAGTTTGTAGTTTATTGAATGAAGGAGAGAAAGAATTGGTGGTTCAGTCAGGAACAATGAGGGAGACAAGTGAACTCCATCCTGAATGGAAGAATTGGTGGTTCAGTCAGAAACAATGAGGGAGACAAATGGACTCCATCCTGAATCAGTGAATACAGGAGTTGGAAGGTGCCAGGCAGCTGAGCACAGTTTGCTTTGTCTACATACTTCAATGTTACAAGTAGGGGATTACCTTTTCTGCTATTTTGAACAGAATTAAATCTCTATTAAGGATAGTCTTATTTCCAAATATTCTGATCCATTTTTCCTGCAAAGGCTCTTTGTCAGACTATGTGCTGCAAGTTTTGCTTGAAAATATGCCACAAATGTCATGACATGTGAATCAGCTATGGCTACTTGGTGGTAGAACAGTGAATCATTGGTAT